TTGGTGCATTGTGGTACTCCCATGTTGCATTGTGGTACTCCCATGGTGCATTGTGGTACTACCATGGTGCACTGTTGTGCTCCCAATGGTGCATTGTGGTACTCCCATAAGGCATTGTGGTACTACCATGGTGCACTGTTGTACTCCTAATGGTGCATTGTGGTACTCCCATTAAAAAAGGTATTTGTAAAAATACAGAGTTTTAGTAGTTTGCCTTATGCTAATAACTATCTGTAGAATGTGTTCTCATGTGAAAACTCTTACATGTCCACCTCCAGTCTACTCACTGTATTTATCAAATTTAAGACAATAGTTTAACAATGATTATTGTATTTATTCTATTAGAAGTACATCTCCAATAAAGGCACACATAAGCCAAAAAATGAATTTAATTTATGCTGGATCGTTAAAATTTGAATTATTTTGACCATTCACACTTCCCTGTGTGTATGGTATGTGATACTAATGGATGTAAGTACATACAGTGCTAGTAATGTCATCAGTATTTTTTTTTTTTTAAAAGAAAGATGTGCAAATGACCAGTGAGGTACATCATGGGAGTACCAGTATGTCAGTGAAGATATCTTAAAATTTACATATACAGGTATAGTTTCATTCTTTTTCAATCAAAATACCATGCACATTAAAATAATTAAAGGACACTGATTCAAAAAAATGAAATGTTATCTCACTGCAATAATGATACCTGGCATCAATTGAGAGCAACTGATGGTATAGTCAGCATCAGTAATTCATTTGATAAATTATATTCGTTCTACTTTTCATTATTTACAAAAAAAAGTGTGAAGGACAGTAATTATAAAGCAATTTGCTGAAGCACAAGATTTTTTGTGCTTAAATTCAGCAAATTCAAGTCATCTTGATTTTATCTAATCATACATAAATACTACATTACTTTACATTATACATTTATAACATTGGTTGAAAAAAAACCTTAGTTTATTAATGAGCCAATCACATTAGTACATTCGCAGACATTATCCATTCAGTACCACTGAAAAGTAGATGTTTCTTTTTGGTATAAAAAATGCAAATATGCAATAAATATTTCATAGCTTTATAATTGGTGAGTCTGTGATCTTTACGAGCTGCAATGAACACTTATCTGTCACTTGTAAATTATGTGCTGATGAAGTGATATAAATGATATACCATCACCGAAAAATAACATTGCCCCAAGCATAAAACGTCCTGTGTTGCTATATACGTGGGTAATAAACATCTAGGATTTGTTTCTCTAGGATCGCCATGGGACAGGATATATATTACCAGAATTAAATACAAACAATGTTGTGTAACTGTCGCTTTGAGATATAATTAATCATGGAAGCTAAATGGTACTTTATTTTGAGAAAGAAGGAAATGTGAAAACGATTGCCATGAATATCTTTGCGGCAAACGAAAGTGAGATGATTCAGCTTTGCGTATACCGCTTGACTGGACATGGGCGCTAATGCGGTTGACTTCGGTACTTAATACAGAATAATTTTCTATAAGGCATTGAAGAATTTTCCAGTCACTGCTAATACATGTTGATTGAGTCATGAGAAACGTAGAAAAAATTACGACTATCAGTATTTACCCCACTGGATAATTTGTTTACTTCTTAACCCTTGTGATTGTATGAGCTATTCCTTGATGAGTACTTACTTAAGAAAATAGGGTTTTCCAGTTTTATCCAGTGCACACTCCCATCCGAAAGGCAGGGCTTCTTTACATGTCCAGTTCACTGATGGAGGTAGCCAACGAGTTATCTTATCATTGTGGCTGTGAAATAAAAAGAGAAAAAAAACATTTCATATTAAATACCTCGTCTTTAAATAGTTATTTTACAATAACATATGGTTGACCTTTTGTTAACGTCTGTGTCGTTCATCGATATCAATTTGGGAAAGTATCCATTACAGGAAACAAATAAATCATGACACAAAATGTAAATAAAGCTACTTTTAGAAAATGTGTTACTGTACACTTTGAAGGTAAAAAAAAAAAGTTTCTTGTCAATTAGTTTTTCCAAAATTGATGTTTGCATTTTATTTTAAAATTGTTATTTTAGTTTAGTTTGTTATGTGATGTACACATATTCATCAGACATGCATAATGACCAGCAATGTTATGATTTTTGTCTGAATTTGAAAACACCGGCCTCCAATTTTTGCTCTAAATTGGGTAAATGTTTCTGTTATTTTCACTGAATTCAATTTAAAATTTTTGACCAAACAGACAGAATGTGACATTTCTTTTAGTGATCAGACTATAAATGAAACTATTTTATGAATGGTGCCTGAATTTGACTTTGGCTAAATTAGCTGCACCCATGTTCAAGCCACGATTAGCCAGCTAAGGTATCTATATTGTATAATTTTTTTGCACAGGAAACTATTAACCAACTAAAATACACCATGAAAGTAAACCTATATTCATCTAGTCCATCAGAATACTGCAAGATCATGACCACATTGAAAGTCAAATAGATCATTAGGAAGAGTCAAGTGAGACAGCATCCGCTGATTCATTATATGTCCCTTTGGTCTGTCTCCATCTATAAGGGCCATCAAACTCGATAGATCAATAAAACAAGCAGCCTCTCAGCTGAGATAGCTCCGCTGTTAGCAAGGCACATTTCAATTAAAGAACAGAAGATATCATTAGAAAATGAACAATATGTATAGTATCAAGCAATGGGACTTGCTGTTTTCAACAAGAATTCAAAAATATCACTTTTTACGAAAAATTATAAAAATATTCACCAAAATTAGAGAATTAAAGATATCATTACAAAATGAACAAATCTGAGAGAGGTCCACATGTAGTACCTGTAAATGTAATATAAATGCAATCGGACTTGCGTTTTTTAACAAGAAGTCGAAAATATCACTTTTCACCAAAAATGACAAAAATATTCACCAAAATTAGAGAATTAAAGATATCATTACAAAATGAACAAATCTGAGAGAGGTCCACATGTAGTACCTATATATGTAATATCAAAGCAATTGGACTTGCGGTTTTTAACAAGAAATTGAAAATATCACTTTTTACTAAAAATGACAAAAATATTCACCAAAATTAGAGAATTGAAGATATCATTACAAAATGAAGAAATCTGAGAGAGGTCCAAATGTAGTACCAATATATGTAATATCAAAGCAATTGGACAGTTTTTAACCAGAAGTCGAAAATATCACTTTTTACCAAAAATGACAAAAATATTCACCAAAATTAGAGAATTAAAGATATCATTACAAAATGAACAAATCTGAGAGAGGTC